ATACTGCTTTTGTTTCAGTTAGAGAGTAAGATACTGCTGACACCACAGTTACTGTGAGAAGTCGGCACTAAATGTTAGGGGTGTTGTAGTGCTTCTGGCATGAACAATGGTATCGGTAGGTGACGGACCAGAGCCATGGTCCTTTACAACCTGTGCTGACTGTGGCAACTACATCCTGGAGAAAGGTGGTTTTCTGAATTGGGGCAGTATCACGGATACTTTTAAAATGTTATTTTAAGCCAACATTGATATCTGGATTTGTGATTTGGTGATAGAGGTATGGGAATAGGAGGTAGAAGAGACTGGGGGGAGAGAGATGAAACTGTTTCCATGTTTGAGGAGACTTTTTCCTGGAGTGCCTTCCAGCCACGGGGAAGAAAAGGTGGTACCTACACCACTGCAAGTAATTCTACACAGTGTGTTCCAGCTCCGTCTGCATCTTGTGAGTTGTTGTCCTAAAGGAGTGTTATTTGAGGGTATGAAACTATAAACTACTGCTGGGATCAGCTGTACTCCGACACTACCTTTATACAAAGTCGACACCTGTCACCAGAAGTCTGCAAACAGAAATAAAGCAAGTTCTTCAGGAGGGGACTGGTGTTGAAAGCTTCAGCCATGCGTGAAGTTGCATAAGCAGCAGAGTCTCAAGAACACTTTGAAAAGCCTTTGGCTTCCTGTGATGGTTGAAGGGAAGGAGAAGGGCTCTTAAGGTTGATCACGTTGTTCTGGGAAACTGCAGTACGGAAATGGTCTGAGTCGGCTCTTCCTTCGCTCCGTGCCCACAGTAGGTTGTGACTGCTCTGTGGGGAAACAGCTTGTTGGCCTTGGCACCTTGCTGTTAGCATGTGCTTCAAGGTCACTTAGCTCTGCTTCTGTTGACTCTCGCTGTACCAGCGAATCGGAGGGGACACCTCGTGAACTAGTGTTTTGCTAAACTCCACGTTTGACTGTTGAGTAGAGCTGCTCAGTGCTGAAGTCTGAATGCTCAGGCTTTACATGTGTCTTCATTCTGGGGGATGTTTAGGTTCAGCGCTTCAG